GCGTGTGTGTGTGTGTGTGTGTGTGTATGTGTGCATGGGGTGTGCGTGTGTTGTGTGCATTTTGTGGCATGTGGTGCGTGTGTGTGTGCGTGTGTATGTGTGTGCGTTAAACATATTGAACTCCTCAGCTGCAGCGACCTCTGAACCATACAGGAAGCAGAGAGGGCAGGGTTCTGTTGAAACAGGAAGCAGAGAGGGTCAGGGTTCTGTTGAAACAGGAAGCAGAGAGGCAGGTTCTGTTGAAACAGGAAGCAGAGAGGGCAGGTTCTGTTGAAACAGGAGTCAGAGCAGAGGGCAGGGTTCTGTTGAAACAGGAAGCAGAGAGGGCAGGTTCTGTTGAAACAGGAAGCAGAGGAGGGCAGTGTTCTGTTGAAACAGGAAGCAGAGAGGGCAGGGTTCTGTTGAAACAGGAAGCAGAGAGGGCAGGGTTCTGTTGAAACAGGAAGCAGAGAGGGCAGGGTTCTGTTGAAACAGGAAGCAGAGAGGGCAGGGTTCTGTTGAAACAGGGAAGCAGAGAGGGCAGGGTTCTGTTGAAACAGGAAGCAGAGAGGGCAGGGTTCTGTTGACAGTGAACTATGAACGTCGGGTCTGTGACTCTGAACAACAGGAAGCAGAGAGGGCAGGTTCTGTTGAAACAGGAAGCAGAGAGGGCAGTGTTCTGTTGAAACAGGAAGCAGAGAGGGCAGTGTTCTGTTGAAACAGGAAGCAGAGAGGGCAGTGTTCTGTTGAAACAGGAAGCAGAGAGGGCAGGGTTCTGTTTGAAAACAGGAAGCAGAGAGGGCAGGGTTCTGTTGAAACAGGAAGCAGAGAGGGCAGGGTTCTGTTGAAACAGGAAGCAGAGAGGGCAGGGTTCTGTTGAAACAGGAAGCAGAGAGGGCAGGGTTCTGTTGAAACAGGAAGCAGAGAGGGCAGTGTTCTGTTGAAACAGGAAGCAGAGAGGGCAGTGTTCTGTTGAAACAGGAAGCAGAGAGGGCAGGGTTCTGTTGAAACAGGAAGCAGAGAGGGCAGGGTTCTGTTGAAACAGGAAGCAGAGAGGGCAGGGTTCTGTTGAAACAGGAAGCAGAGAGGGCAGGTTCTGTTGAAACAGGAAGCAGAGAGGGCAGGGTTCTGTTGAAACAGGAAGCAGAGAGGGCAGTGTTCTGTTGAAACAGGAAGCAAAAACATAAACAAACTGGAGGAACGGACATCAGGAAATGCCTTCATAACTGTCCACTAGGGGTAACAGTGAGCGCTATTACCTTCAAGTAGATTTGGGTTTTGCTCGGGCGTTGTGGACGTAATCCCATGACTTTGGATCAGAAGGTTGTGTGTTTGATCCCGCAGAAGGTGCCCTAAACGTAATGTTTTAACCCTATCCAAAACCTTAACCTTCTAAAATTGATGTTTGGAGCAACTTCAAAATGAGACTTTTGGAGAAACAGAACGATACTGAGCAGGAAGAGTCAAACCAGCCGTGTCAAAAATGCTTCGAAATTGTGACATTTGGAGAAACATGGATGCTCGAGCTCGTTGAGGAACTCACCACTGTCAGATCTCTGTGCCACACTCACAATACACACACTATCTACTCAATCACACACTACACTGACACTCTCACACAAAACCCACACACATTCACACACACACATAACACACACGCATACACAAATACACACACACACACACACACACACACTTTCACACTCATCATTAGCAGATGATAGTGGGCGCTAGATCTTCAGTAGATTCTAGGATGTGTCCCCTGTGGACCGGCTCCTCCATTCAAGCTGCAAAAGGCATAATTCCACTAGTCTGGCTGACACCAGCTCTCAAAGTTTTCCTGAGAGTGTGGAACGGCTGCTTTGATGTGTCCATAATGAAGGGGCTGTGCTCTCAGACTTCAAGGCGGAACCCTATGCTGGATGGATATCCCCATTTCGATTGTAATGACTCATGATCTATTGTTTTACATAGGACCACCCCAGTACTTCCGCTTCCACCCACCCCTTCCAGACATACATTCCAGCCACCCCTTCCAGCTTTCTCTTCCAGCCCACTCTTCCAGCCATTCTTTCCAGCCACCCCTTCCAGCCTACCTTCCAGCCATCCCTTCTAGCCATCCTTTCCAGCCAACTCTTCCAGCCAGGCTTTCCAGCCAACTCTTCCAGCCAAGTCTTCCAGCCAATTCTTCCAGCCCCCCTTCCAGCCATCCCTTCTAGCCATCCTTTCCAGCCAACTCTTCCAGCCAGGCTTTCCAGCCAACTCTTCCAGCCAAGTCTTCCAGCCAATTCTTCCAGCCCCCCTTCCAGCCATCCCTTCTAGCCATCCTTTCCAGCCAACTCTTCCAGCCAGGCTTTCCAGCCATCTCTTCCAGCCATGCCTTCCAGCCATCCCTTCCAGCAACCCCTTCCAGCCATCCTTTCCAGCCAACTCTTCCAGCCAGTCCTTCCAGGATAAGCAAACACACAGTATCTAGCTGGCTAGCACAAACCTTCGGAGTTCAGACATCGTTTGCCACTAGCATCATGAATAGGGTGCGTAAATCTTCACACACATTTTCAAAATGTTATAACAACCCGTTCTGCACTAAAACAGGTGACGTATTAAACAACTGCAACCAGTTAAACGTTACAATCTTGTGGCTACAAGTAGCAGCTAACGTTAGCTAGCATTGTTCAGCCCATAGAAAGCCAGCCAGCTAATAACTGTAGCTTGCTCGCTGTCAACTCGAAATCAGCTAGCTAATCAAATGTATGTTTTAGTTATAATTTAACTACTTAGCAAATGACAGTATCGGCTGAACATTTCCCCACTGAAGTTATTCATTTTCCTTTTTTGGTGTCCTTTGTTTACATGGTAGGACATGTGAATCACCCATGCATTCGAGCTACCCATGTACACTTCTGGCAAGTTTTCTCCCTGCCCCCTAGTTTTTTTCCATTCATGAACATGAAGTACCCTAAACATTTATCGACCAGACTACAGCAAGTAGGACCAACAAAACCAGAAGAGATATGAATAACCAAAAATGTAATGCAACATTTACTAATGTAAAGATAAAGAAAACAGAGCATGTACAAAATTAACTTGATTTTAAAGGATGATATAATTTTTTTTATTTAACTTGGCAAGTCAGTTAAGAACAAATTCTTATTTACAGTGACGGCCTACACCGGCCAAACCCGGACAACGCTAGACCAATTGTGCACCGCCCTATGGGACTCCCAATCACGGCTGGATGTGATACAGCCTGGAATCGAACCAGGGTCTGTAGTGACGCCTCTAGCACTGAGATGCAGTGCCTTAGACCGCTGCGCCACTCGGGAGCCTTAATGATGATATGATGATGATATGATGATGATATGATGATGATATAATGATGATATATTGATGATATAATGATGATATATTGATGATGTAATTCATGAAGCAAACAGACATTGTAAAACACTCACAGTGGGCTGTGAGTATCCAACTCCAGATCATAGGAAGGATGAATGACCTGTCGAACGACATTAAACCTTGTGCTTGTTCATATGAATTTGAGACTAAAAGTTATTCACCATCGCTATGTTGATAGCTTCATTTCAGTCAATACTTTGGAATGAAAAGGTCTAGCTAACCTAGCCAGCCAGTGCATTTGTGGCACACCTCGTATGTCAGTTGCAGACGGCAGGTTTTTGTGTCTCTGAGCTTTTCCGGTGTCTGTTGTCATCCACAACACCGTCTTGCAGGAATTACCTCCTTCATCTTCTCTACAGCAAAAAAAAAAAAAAGGAAATGGGAAAAAAGAGGGAGGGGGGGGTTGAAATGTGCAGGCCGTTCTGGGGGTCATGATGACTGAATGAAGGGCAAGTGGCCAGGCATCGCCACAGACACCTGTAAGGGCTTCTGTTGTTATGTTAAACCACCTCTGCCATTCCTTCTTGCAGTACTTGAGGAACACCTTGTTCTATACAATCATCCATTACATTCTCTCCTAACCCAGGACCTATCGTATCTCCCTCCTAGAGGGAAAAAAGGGGGGGAGAGAGCGAGATGAGAAGAGAGAGTAAGAGAGCGAGAAGGAGAGGTGAGGAAAAGAAAAGGAGAGAGAGGCAGGGAGAAGAGTATGAGTAGCAGCGCAGAAAAAAAGGAAAAAAGGAGAATGAGGGGGAGTATGAGGTGCAGGATGACCGAGGGGCGCGGGAGAACAGAGGCCGCGAGAGAGGCCAGAAACCACTCCAGAGAGACAAGAGTTTAGAATCGTCTATCTAGCCTCTCCTCGATCTCTTTATCGCTCTTCCTCCATCTCCCTTCTCTACTCTCTCTCTGCTCCTCTCTCTCATCTGTCTCTCTGGCACTAAGAAGACTCTTTACCACCAGTACATTGTGGACAGCGAGGAATGAACAAAATTACAGTCATAAAATACCTAGAGCGTTTAATTAGCTTCTTACAGTAGAGCGCTAGAACAGAGGCGGCGGGGACATCGAAACCCAGCAAAAAGACTTCGAGTCCTCTCCTACCCTAGACTCCTCCCTCATTATGAGCAGTCTCTCCATCTTATTACTCTCTCTCTCTTCGGAAACTTAGCAAACACCTTAACCACATCTATATTGTTGACCAAACTGCACAAAATTAACGTCATTAAAAGACCTAGAGCTTTTAACTTTAGCTTCTTTTTACTATGCTAGTAGTTCTTGCATAAGAACATGTTATGTGTGGGGTCTCCATAGTTTAACCCAGTTAAAAATGTACTTTCTGCAGTGCCTCTTTTAGCCCTTAGGCTGCCTGTCACCCAGTCATTTATGATGCAGTTCTATCATTTTATTTAGGCTACTCAATGTCTTATCATGCAAACATTTTATGCAAACAAACACTTCTTAAACACTTATTGTGTTTGTACAAATACTTTCAATCAATCATCCACTGGTGTCGTCACTATAATTTACATTCCGACGTTACATCCATCGCAGTGCCGTTCTATACCGTCGAAGTACAGTTCTAGGTCATTGTACATACCATGTGTACCATGTGTAGGTCAGATGCTCTTCATCCACAACGATTCGGACGATTTTGGAGCTGTGTAGGACTGAGGCCAACACATCTCTCCTGGTCTTCCCCAACCAGCTCTCCTGGTCTTCCCCAACCAGCTCTCCTGGTCTTCCCCAACCAGCTCTCCTGGTCTTCCCCAACCATCTCTCCTGGTCTTCCCCAACCAGCTCTCCTGGTCTTCCCCAACCAGCTCTCCTGGTCTTCCCCAACCAGCTCTCCTGGTCTTCCCCAACCAGCTCTCCTGGTCTTCCCCAACTAGCTCTCTAACTTCCCGAAGACAAGGTCGCATGCACCCTCCCATATAGCGTTCTCGCCTTCCTCCACAACCACCAGTCTGAGACCTCGTGGGTTTGGTCCTCCAGCCTTTAGAGGGGGGCCTTCAGCTCTTGGAAGACTAGAACTAGCTAGCTAGCTGGTTTCCCCAAAAGCCCGTTGGCAAGACCGCCAATACATTCTCCCCTTGCACTGAGGCTCGAAAATGCTTGAAGTTGCACCTATTTTAATTCATAAATTGGCCGTTACTATGTGACAGTGTCGTCTCGCTATCTCCTTTCCTGAAAGCTCCATCACATCATTTATTTAGCCTGCTAGCCTAACTTTAGCTTCGCTTGTTTACCTTTCTAGTGAGGGCGTAGCAAATTGACGAGGATAGTGTGGGGGAGGGGGGGGGGGGCATTCACATGAGAACCATTCACTCAAAGTCACTCAAAATTGGACCTAACCTCCCCTTTTTACAAGCTCGAGTTACCAGACCAGTTAGTCACAGCTCGCTGTGTGGTCAGCGTAGGTCGCGCGTCAGACAGCCTATAATTTATTTATTTACTTTATTGCCATCTGAAAACATTTATTAAACATCATTTTGCACCACGATTTTGGGATTAGGATGTTCTACACCGCGTTCAACCAAGGATGTGCAACATCCTAAATTCTCAGAACATCCCCCAAAATGGTGGTGGATATTGTTTTGTTAAGACAGTACACATATTTGTCCAGTTTATTTTTTATTTTTTTAGATGGCCCGGCAATTAAAGCAAGTTAAGGAGGAAAATGATGCCTTTGCTGCCTGAATGGAGGACGCTTTGCGGGGACACGAGTGTTACCGGCTTGGCACATCAACCCTAGACGATAGTGCAGATCACTATCGGCTGCCTAGGCTAACTCATCATATGCTGCTACTTGATTCTTTAATCTTATTATTATATATCCTGATGCCTAGTCACTTTACCCTGCCTTTATGTATGTATCTCAAATACCTCGTACCCCTCCAAATTGACCTGGTCCTGGTGCTCCCTGTATATAGCTTCATTACTGTGTATTTAATTCCTCTTGTGCAACTATTATTTTTATTTTATTATTATGTTTTAACTCTTGTATCATTCGGAAGGGCTTGTAAGCAAGCAATTCACGGTAGAGCCTACACCCGTTGTAATCGGCTCATGTGACAAATAAAATCTGATTCGATTTTGCTTTTTTGATCACTCTGACCTCACATGACATTCACGATCTAAATGACACTGTCTCTGGGAACTTCTAGAAAACGATCTCTCTTGGTCATTATTAAGCAATTACCATTTAACCGTCAATCCTTTTTTACTTTTTTACAGCTCCTTTACATACTGTGTTGGTTTTATTGAGTAGATGGGACCGGGGTGAGAAGACAGGGAAGAAAGGAGAGGGGCGAGTCAGAAGGGAACTGGGTTGGTTTTATTGAGCAGATGGGACAGGGGTGAGAAGACAGGGAAGTGAGGAGAGGGGCGAGTCAGAAGGGAACTGGGTTGGTTTTATTGAGCAGATGGGACCGGGGTGAGAAGACAGGGAAGAAAGGAGAGGGGCGAGTCAGAAGGGAACTGGGTTGGTTTTATTGAGCAGATGGGACCGGGGTGAGAAGACAGGGAAGAAAGGAGAGGGGCGAGTCAGAAGGGAACTGGGTTGGTTTTATTGAGCAGATGGGACAGGGATGAGAAGACAGGGAAGTGAGGAGAGGGGCGAGTCAGAAGGGAACTGGGTTGGATTCTGGGTTAGATGACCCTCTGTGTTTACTGTGAACAAAGAGAAAATATGTTTCCGTAAATGATATATTTATTGATTTCAGTTGTTCTGTGGTTTAAAATAGTTGTTTTCCAACACTGATTCGGCCTCATTACATTACAAACTACCATCTCTGTTTCCAGGTAACAAACAATGAGCTAGTTGAAATGTCAGGAAAGGATTGGGGGGAGAATACATTTATTTTTTAGTCATTTAGCAGACGCTCTTATCCAGAGCGTGAGTGCATATATTATTTATACTGGCCCCCCGTGAGAATCGAACCCACAGCTACATCGAACTGAGCTACATCCCTGCCGGCCATTCCCTCCCCTACCCTGGACCAATTGTGCGCCACCCCAAGGGTCTCACGGTCACGGCCGGCTACGACAGAGCCTAGATTCAAACCAGGATCTCTAGTGGCGCAGCAAGCACTGCGATGCAGGTGCTTAGCCATGTCCCTCGGGAGTGCATGGGTTACGTTCCCCGTTTCGTTTGTGGGTTGTGTATTTTCATGTATGTATTTCAGGAAAATGGGTTCCTGAAATTCCCCAACAAGCAGCTGTATGGTCAATGAACATTGATGATTGGAGAGCTGACCCCGCGCCCTCGTCAGGACGCAGCTGTCTCCAATTACCAACTCCTTCTGAAGCTATATAAGCCCCAGTTCTGTTGCTCAGAAGGGGGGGGGGGGCAGAATGGCTGAGAGTTATAGCATGTTGGTTGTTGCTAAGACATTTGGTATGTACTGTGTAGTTGTTGCTGTGAGAACCAATTGTAATGTTTTGTGTTAGTTTGTTGCTCAGAGAGTTTCTTTAATGTCCTGAGTTAGTTTTTTTTCTCAGGTTTTTGTTGTGAACCAGTTTGTGCTATTTTGTTTCATTTGTTCCCAAGGGGGGAAGGGGAAGGCACCTAGGGAGTGCTTAGGCAAGAGGCCCGTGGGCATACATTACCCGTAGAAGTTGACTGTCTATGCACACTAGGAAAGACCTGGGCGGACCATCCCTTGTATTTTGGTTAGTGCACCAGGTGTTGCTAGTTAAGTAGTAGTGGGTAGGCAGGTAAGGTAGGAGAGGGGGCTTTGATATTTACTTTCTTTGCTTTGGTTCCGTCCAGCCCCCTTTTCCCCAAACTTACCGTGCGAAGGAATAAATTCCCTGTTAACGGTATTCTCTGCCTTTTGTCATCCTTACTCACACCTACAGTCCCATACCTCTTTCACCCCACGGAGAGTTGAGTTGTAGCAGGGGTGTTGCGTTCCCTCTTCCGAGAGGCGTGCGTAACAGATGGTAACTACTACTGGTAACTAATGGTAACTAGTGCATAGGGCGGCAGGTAGCCTAGCTGTTAAGAGCAGTGGGCCAGTAACCGAAAAGGTCACTGGTTTGAATACCCGAGCCGACTAGGTGAAAAATCTGTCGACGTGCCCTTGAGCAAGGCACTTAACACTAATTGCTCCTGTAAGTTGCTCAGGATAAGAGCATCGGTTAAATGACTAAAAATTAAATGTAATTACCTAGTAAAAAACATGATTATTACCATGTTTTACTGAGCTGGAATGTAAAGTGCTACCCACTTTTCATTGTTTTTGCATACATAATGAGGACCTAGTGATTAAGCCAATTCCTTCCAGGCTTGATGGCACATAATAAAGATCACACTGGGTTTCTGAAAAGTTTGCCTTCATAATGTAATCAAGCCTTGAGCCCTTCACAGTACAATGTTAACTTAATTGTGTTTCATTCTCATCCGGTCAATCCTTCCCATTGATAATGGTTCTTCAAGTTGTCATTTCGAAACAAAATCTCGCCACTTAATTCCAGTGTTATTGTTGATTTACCGCTTTCTAGGGGTTGAGAAAATGACAATATGGAGACACCCAACAGGCACAAGGGGAGGAAGGGGGGGGGGGGGGGGGGAGAGAAAATCATTGTATTCACTGAATAATGGAGGTCCTGAACATTTTCTAGAGGAACACAACAACTGTTATCTGTTATCTGTCCTGGCCTGATGGTGTGCTAAGTGAGGTGGGCTGTAATGTGTTGGGACATTGATTATTTTGGTTGCCCCCTCAGTTCACTCAACAGGGGAACCATTAGCTTCACCAGGAGCTCTCAGCTACCTAAAGGTGTAAAGAAGAGGATTAATGTGATCATGGTTTAGTGCTCAACCATAAATCAAGCACTCTTTTTTCAACACAGTCTCTCTCTCTCTCTCTCTCTCTCTCTCTCTCTCTCTCTCTCTCTCTCTCTCTCTCTCTCTCTCTCTCTCTGGTATAAATATTAATGTTCTCCCATTCTACTAGTAGTTTCTGGAGAATAAAATAGATTAGAAAACCTGAGTAACAAATTACCTCCTTAGATACGACGACACAGCAAAATTAGTGGGTGTTAAAATCTCGGTTTTTTATTTTGTATTTTCTTTAACTTTTCTTTAACTAGGCAAGTCAGTTAAGAACAAATTCTTATTTACAATGACAGCCCACCAATAGGGAAAAGGCCTCCTGCAGGGACGGGGGCTGGGATTAAAAATTACAATTAAAATATAGGACAAAACACATCACGACAAGAGAGACACCACAACACTACAGTACATAAAGAGAACCTAAGACAACAACATAGCATGGCAGCAACACATGACAACACAGCATGGTAGCAACACAACTTGGCAGCAGCACAACATGGTAGCAGCACAAAACATGGTATAAACATTATTGGGCACAGACAACAGCACAAAGGGCAAGAAGGTAGAGACAACAATACAATACAGGGCAGACGGTGAACAGATCACCAGGTGGAATCCACTGGGAGAAGCTTTTTTCAGGAGGCAGAATCCTTGTAGAAAATTCCAGCTAGCTAATTAACATAGCTAACAAGTCTCTGTCCATCGTTTTTTTCCCTGTGAAAATGGAGGTCGTTACCTACAGTTGAAGTCGAAGTTTACATACACTTAGGTTGGAGTCATTAAAACTCATTTTTCAACCACCTCACACATTTCTTGTTAACAAACTATAGTTTTGGTGTCACGATCGTTACAGGAAGCGGACCAAGGCGCAGCGTGATAGGCATACATACTTTTATTGTGTACACACACGAACCAAAACAACAAACCAAACGATACGTGAAGTCCTAGGTTAAACACCAAAATAAACCTAAATGCAACAAGATCCCACAATAAACAGTGCCAAACAGGCTGCCTAAGTATGGTCCCCAATCAGAGACAACAAGAATCAGCTGTCTCTGATTGGGAACCACCCTGGCCAACATAGAAATACAC